TATTGGCCCAACATATAGAGTCATAAGTTATTGCGTTGACAAATGAACGAGGTTGGTAACGTATTCGATTATAAATGCATTAGATGTTACACGTGTAAAATAAGTATTCATTATCTTTTTTAATCCTCGGTCACATATCGGAGTTCAAATTTAAATGATAATTTGTTACTCGTTAAATTTTTTAAAGTGCACATTGAAACAGTAGCACTTTTCTTATTTTTTAGTATTAGAAACTTACTTTTATTGACTTTAACTTGTGTAGAATAAATAGTTTGTGAAATTATGCAATGATAATGTGGGTTATCAATAAATATTTTTACAATTTTGAATTCTATAGGTACTGCAGTCACTATCATTCATCTCTTAAATTATCTAGATTTATATCTTATTTGTGGATACATACATTAAAGGTGAATCTCAATAGATAAACAACTCTTACATTTTGATGATTTTTAAAACTATGCCCACAAATTGTACAAATATCCGAAATACGCGTATAACTATATCAGATTTACATATAAAATTTACAATACGAATTATTTTTATGACTAGGTGACTCTTTAAATTATTGACATAACTTTTTATTTATATACCTACCAAGGAAAAAACACTTTGTTAAGTAAATGTCATCACAGTACTCGTACATTAGTGAAAACCGCACCCAAATCGGTTAAGCCGTTTCTGAGATTAGCGCGCAAAAATGCACAGACAAACCGACAAACAGATAAAAATTCTAAATATCATTGTTTTGGGTTCTATTGCGTTAATAAAGACTCCCAACAGTAGTTTTTTTTTCAAATATTTTCCATGTACGGACAGCGATCAGTTACATTTTTATTATACATATGTTGGTACACATATAGATATGATAACTACTTACAAATGAATACATTTAAATAGTTAATTATTATTAATTCAAAGGATTGTTATCGTTCGCAAGTAAGCCCAGTACATTTTTCACACTAGGAGCTTAATTTTAAAAACGTTTTGATAAGGTTAATGGTAGCTTGACGTTTTATAGCAACATTATTGTCCACTAATGATAATAATTTTCATGGTCGAGCAAATGCATTTGGCAGTTGGACCTTATTATAATAAATTAATGGCGGCGAACCCTAATGGGCCTCGGCCGGTCATAATTACACTCGATATTACAAACTGGAGGGGCGTTGAAAAAATCGCCACTTCGTAGTGTTCCAACAATTTGTAGTCAAGGTTATTTGCATTGGCCAGGAAAATGTTTACTTTTAAATTCTTTTTGTTTTGTACGCTTATTATATTATACTAACAACATCCGGTGGGTCTGCTTAATTCCTTTATATTTTAGAATTAAATCACTCTTTGCTTAAGTATAAGTTATAAGTGTGATATAAAGACTAATTAATTAAGATGCAGACCTTGAAAAATTGTAAGGAATTGAAAATCTTTAAATTTTTCTAAATATAACACTTATTTAAAGGTTGATTATTGCAAAAAAACATTAATTTTTGATAAAAACACGCCGTCGTACGTCGAGTTGGTAGCTGTTAGTACGGATGACTTAAAAAAGGAGAGATTCATAGACACAGGCTCTCCTTTTTTTAATTGTTGGGAAATGCATTTATGCATATCACCTATACAGGTGGTTATGTAGGAGTGCTGGCTAGAATAGCCAGTACTACTCACTAATACCCAACAGAACCTCCCCCGTCTTAATGGGGCGTCGCAGAATCGCTTACGCACTCAATAACGACGCCCGTCGAAGCAGATCACACATCCAAGAGTTTACTCCAACTGTCCACTCTACTGTCAGAGAAGCACTAGGAGCAACCTGCATGGTACACCGCCCATCGAAGTGGGCCACCTCCTTGCGTATCTCTTGGCTTCGCGGCCGACTAGGTTACCCTATTGAGCCCCCCCAAGCACGACAAGATGGACACATCGGGGGGAGAACAAAATGCATACCTTACATATACATATTTCTTAATTATACGTACATACAAAATATTAAAATTACAAGAATGTTCAGTTCGCATGTAAGTTAACAGGGGGACGGTAAGTAGTCTGAGCGCTTAGTGCCTGGGTGGTAAACCGCAACTTCTACTCGGCTGCGCTAATTCCCTCGCCTTATACCTATAATCCCGTGTCGTACTTTGCGCTTACTGAATTCCGATAGTGTTGTACACTTTTTTAGCATAATCTATAAAATATACAATTGCCGGACAATTATTAAGTTTTTTTCTCCAATAATAATTTTAATTCTAACCATACCTAAGCACGTACAAATATACAATCTGATTTTATTTATTCTTAAGAATAATATATTGAATTATATATAATATCATGTAAAGGTTTTATATTATACATAATGTGCTGTTATCACTTATCTCAGGGAAAACACCAATATAATTAAAAGTCAAGTAATGATCTCCACTAAATGATAAATGAAGCTTCATTTGATCTTTACCCTTTATCTCATACCTAAATTTGGCTTTTAAGTTTTACAAAATTATCTTTCACGATATAAAAAACCACTTTAATTAAGAACCACTTAACGTTAAAGGTGTTAATTTGTTTGAGTTGATAACAACCATTAAGTACTGAATATTCCAATAAAAAAATCTTCTGATATGCTCTGATTTTACTTCGTAATTACAGATAAATTCTATGTTTATATTTGTTGCACAGCATTTAAGCCTTAGAAAATGTGTTAATTAAACCATATTTTACCACTTTCATAATACGAACGTGAACGAGAACAGAACTAAATGAGAATATTTGACTAAAAATAAGCTTGAGTCAAAGGATTTTAGAAAATGTACTATGTATGACTGAGTTAATTTACTAAATATTTTTTTTGTGATTTATTATCTGCAATCAGTTTAACTATAAACAGATTGTGTGAGGGTATTTGTCTGTCGAGTGTGCTCTCCACTGAGAACATCTACTCATTTATTGCCAATGGACTCAGTCATCACTGATTATATCCTTCCTTTTGAGCCTTTTGTTATAGCCTCGACGTGTAAGTTGTGAAGCTAGAGGATTGGGGTGATTTTGCAGTCGTTGGTGATAGGTTTGCGAAGTGTTTTTGATTTCGTCTTTCACAGTAGACATGTTGAGGTGATCGTGGATTTCATCGTTGGTCACAAACCATGGCGAGTTGCCAATAGTGTGGAGGATCATATTCTGCATTCTTTGCAGGATGGTTATATTCGAGTTACTGGCACTGTCCCATAGCTGTATGCCATACATCCAAATAGGCTTCAATACTGTCTTGTAGATAAGCAATTTGTTATCTACAGAGAGTTTGCTGTTGCGTCCAAGCAGCCAGTGGAGGTTACGGAATCGTATGTTTAGTTCCTCTCTTTTAGCTTTGATATGCCGCTTCCATGTTAGTCTTCGATCTAAATGAAGCCCCAAATACCGAACACAGTCAGAGTGGGGTAATACTGTGTTTTCTAACTTTACCAGGGGCAGTTTCCCTTTCTCAAAGAGAAAGTTACTTGCACCGATTTTGTTGTGCTAATTTACTAAATATAGGGTATTATCCTTGTTATGTTTTTCGATATTTGTTTTTTTTAATACTTTTGATTAATTATCTACCTATACGAAAGATTGTATGTTTGTAATTAATTTTTATGAAAGATATAATTCAATTACACAAATATATTTTTTAAATCTTTTATATAAGCGTTTCTACTGTCAGTTGAATACTAAATATAAGTTTTGTAATAAAATAATCATTTAATCAACTTAAAAACAATTAGAAATATTCGTTTACTAGTTGACTTTTGCCAATGAAACATTAATGTAGTAATAAAGTTTGTAATTTTTGTTTAACATATTTTATGCCTTTATATCGAATATTAAATATAAATAGTAGTTTATAAAAAATGCGTCTGTAAGTAACCAAGTGCGTGTAAGGAAGTGGTGACCGCAGAAGCCTTATAATGCTCGAGACGACTTGCTTGAGTTACAAAGCTCTGGATTACCCTATGACAGTGTCTTGGTTGTCGTAAAGAAAATATGTATTTTTAAACCGTTGATATCGTTTTTGATTTCAAAGCGTATTCACATCTTATTAATTTACTGTCCGTAATTTTCTTTGTAAACTCACAATACTTTGACGTAAGAGTAGGTATCTAATAAAATTTTATTTTTGTTTTTAAGAAAAAATTATATATAACTTAAAACATATTTAAATATACACTTATTTATAACGTATCTTACGTTATAAATAAGTGTATAACGTATTAAAAATATAAAATATTGTTGTTTTACAAAAATATTTTTATTCGAAATTAAAATAGCCGATGCTAAATTAAAATAGCCTGAAAATTAAAAAGCTATAAAATTATTGACCGATTTCAATAAGTACGTACTCAATTCAGGTGTTTATTTTGCTTCGTTTATGTTGAAACGTTTTCAATTTTATTTTTTTTAATAAACTGGGTACGTTTTAACGGTTAGGATGGAATAGATAGACTATATATTATACATATACTAACGACTCACTCTCGCTTTTACTTACGTTTTAATGTTTAGTATAAATTTCTCAGAGATAAGATATTTTCCCGCCGTAAAAAGTATTCTATATGTTGCCCCGGCGAACCAGCTATCATCATACCAAATTTCATTAAAATCCCTTTTGTGGTTTTTCCGCGATGTGGTCACAGCCAGACAAAAACTCTAAATATAATAGATTTGGCCTCTGTATCGATAATAATGTCTATTTCAATAAGATTTTCCAAAAAATATTTAATGTACAGATTCTGCTTAGTTACAATTTTGTTATGTGTATAGAGAGAATATATAGCCTATAGCCTTCCTCAATAAATGGAGTAGTAGTTCCTGTGATTAGCGCGTTCAAACAAACAAACAAATAAACAAACAAACTCTCCTCTTTATAATATTGGTATAGATAGGCTATGCCATATAAATTTAATGAAAATAATTCTCTTCTTAGGGAAAGCTGTAAATTCTTTAAATAAATAAATAATGCTACAATTTTTTTGTTACAGGTGTGAAAGATGATTCGGACGACGTATCAAGTAAATCTTGCGGTGGTGACGCCTCCGGCTTAGCGAAGAAACAAAGAAAGGCGAGGACTGCCTTCACGGACCACCAACTACAGACGTTAGAAAAATCCTTTGAAAGGCAAAAGTACCTAAGCGTGCAAGATCGCATGGAACTCGCCGCTAAGCTAGGCCTCACAGACACGCAAGTGAAGACGTGGTATCAAAATCGACGGTAAGTTTTATGAACTTGATCTACCTATTCTGCCTATCAGTAATTTGCCCTGGCTTTACCGGCACTAATAACGGTGTAGAACTACGAAAGCATATACTAATTTCGTGTTGTAGGTTATTTTACATAATTTTAACAAATTATCCGGATGGATTTTAACTTTAAAGTGTCACAATACTTTTTTATAGCGCTTTGAGATTTTTTATACTTAACAAAGCTATTTTAAACATTATTCAACGTAGGTAGGTTACATAGCGTAGGTGTACCTATATATGTACAAATTTAATTATTTTAAATATTGCATGTGTAATTTCTAACTACTATATTCATAATTTGATTTTGTTTTTATAACATTACTATAAGAACCCGCGGCTACGCCCGCGTCCAATCTACAAAAAAAACTTTTTGACTTTAGAATGTTATACAGCGACGAACCTCCGCTTCGCTTGGGTTTGTCGCAATTGTTCATATAAAAATACTAAAATCGCGATTAAAAAACGGAGTTCGGGGGTAGGAGGGCGAAAAATACTTTACGACCTATTCTCATACCTACCAAATATACAAAAAATCATTAAAATCGGTCGAGCCGTTTCAGAGCACTTTTCGTTTCAGATAACACCGCGTGTCAAGATAAAATTTCATTTTCAATCAAATGTTGTAATGATTCAATAAATTATATACTGCAATAAAATAAATAACAATAATAATACAGGGATGCAAATATTTTAGTGAAAAAAATATATTTGTAATTTATAAAAACATATTTCAAGTAAATATTTTTTTAACAATAGTTATTTGATTCCATCACTCATTTAAAATAAATGAAAGAAGTATTTTTTTTAATATCTATTTATATTGAATAATAAATTCAATAAAAATAGATATTTATTATTTATAAAAAATCTTTGAAATAATCATAGAATAGTTTAAAGAATTTTAAATTGACTATTTCTTCACTTCCGCAACAACCGTTTCCGTTACAAAAATTGTAACGCCAATCCTTTTTTCCCTCTCATGGCACACCTAAAGAAGTTTCACTTTAAAAAGTATTCTTAAGTAGGTATTATCTGTAAATAATTGGAAAGATACATAAATATAATAATTCTTTTAAAAGCTGAGATTGATATTATTATTATATAGTCACACCATTATTCATTAATGCCATTTTAATAAAATAAGTTTTTCGTATTAATTCAAGATTATGATTAGAGAAGACTGTTTCCTTTGACAATGAATTCCCTTCGTTTTACATGATAATTGTATAGAAAGGCTATTAAGAACTCTACCTCCCACATTGTAATGGGTTTATAACACTGGATACAAGTACGATGGGTCGAATGAAGAAAGCAATTATTATAGAATACTCAATAACGGTGCAAGTGATAAGCGAACATCGCAGGTCTTAAAGAAATTATGACTTCAGAATAATATATTTAGTTTTTTTATTAATTATATCTTCTGTAATGTTTCTATAAATTACGCTTTGTATAAATGTCTTTTTTATTCAGCATGAGATATAATCTTTTTTTTTATTAATAATAATAATTATTTTATCGTCATAATCATTTGTCAAGCAGAAATAATATTGAAAATGCTTTTAATATTATTTAATAAAGATAGATGTTTAAGTAATTGGAAATACTAAAATACACCTATCACCAATGTAATTGAAAACCTTTAGGTATAGTGCTATACTACACCTTATGACTCGCGCTCTTTACTTGTTTACGCTACACGATAACGTTCACGTTCGTGAGAGTCGGCGAGTCACATAGAATGCTGAGTCAGGAACTACTGTACAGCCGCCACTTGCTACTATTGTAAATAATCATAGACTCTATCTCTCTTCACCACATGCGGCATGTCACATCATATTTAATAAATTATTTTCTTATATTATTTCTACGGTTAATAAGTAAAAACAATATAGGTTCCAATTGGCAAAAAACTACAAAATACATAAATAGTTCTTTGAAATTATTTATGGTAATAAAATGGGAAATCTATGAACCAATGACTGTTAATACCAATTCAAATCTTTAACGAGTTATGTCAGCGTCTGTACTAAGGCGGCTATTTTAAAAACAAACGACCGTAATTAGAGCTTCAGGGGTCGACCATGCCACCTTCTAGACGCTTTATAAAAACGTCAGTAGCCAAAAAACTACCTCTACTTTTCTATTATTCATTTTTTATTGGCTTTAAGTCAAGTAAACATTACAATCGACATTTCAAAAAAAGCACGTATAAAATATAAATGCTTGAATTATTATTTTTCGACTTTTAATAAATGCAATGCATAATGTATCAGAAATATTCTTTGTTTTAATAGAAGCAATATTGATAATTGCATTTTTATGCAGAAGCATAAAACGTTATTACTCGTTTAACCTTCATACAAAAAAATATACTTGCTCAGTCACCACACAAGTGGTCGCCCCGTCTGCTAGTTTTTTAACTATTATTTTTTACCACCCTTTTTGTCGGTTTTCTATAATTTCGGTAAAACCAATGTTTGGACTTCGATTTTTCGGTTCGTGAAAGGGTGTGAAATTAGAGTTAATCGAAGGATTTAATAGCTTTTGTGAGCGTTCACTTTCTTTTATTTTACCTAGAGTAAATAGTGTTGGTTTTTTCTTCGATAGGTGATTCTACAAAGATTGTTTTTATTTTTCCACTAGCTGACAGCTTTCCTCTCCAAATTCTAAAGTTCATACAAAAACCCTATAGAAAAAAGGAAAAATTTCCAGAATTTTCCAAATTTCCTAGCATGTTATTCAATTATTTCCCTAAAAGTCTTATTCAAACTACTACGAACAGTCCAATCATCACGTGGAGCGCTTACCAACTGCAAGCATATAATTTTTATTCATATAGGTACCTACCTATGTAGATAAGATTAAATATTTGATGTCGATTACTTGAAAGCAAACTATTTTTTTTACAATATTAAGTTAACATACTTAGTGTCTGAAAAACTATAATCTGCTGTATCACTGCAACTATAGTATTGCAAACGAAATTATTATTAATTTAACTGCAACCCAACTTACTAGCTTGTGATCAAAAAGATTTACCAAATTATAATTTTGGATAGCATATTGTTGGTACGTGTGAATCAATGGTCGGCACTTCATCCACAGAACGGTTGCAAGTCACGGCCGAGCCGGCGCCGACGCACCATCTATTATAAAGCTTCCGCCGGTCAAATTGATACTTTTTTACAACCATTCAATGGTTTATTTACTTAATTGTTTTAAAATGATTCATTGTATAATGATATCGGAGCGATAATTCATCTGTCCTTTTTCTACTGATAATGCTACTGAATTATTTATTTAACCGTTATTATAAAATATTTAATAACTCTGACTAAAGATTTTTTTATCGCTTTATTGTTTACTTTTAGGTTTCATTTCCAAGAGTCTTCATAAAAACCCATAGAGTTTGTTACTTAAGAATTAAATTAAAAATACTTAGAGGCTCGCCCTCGCTTCGCTCGGGTTCGCCTCTAGAAAACCACAAACAAATCTATCCCACGGGAACCATACATCTTTCCGGGATAAAAAGTACCTGACCCATGTGTTATTCTAGATTATAATCTATCTCTGTGTCAAATTTCATCCAGATCCGTTACGCCGTTCTGGCGTAAAAGAGTAACAAACATCCATTCATCCATACTCACAAACTTTCATATTTCTAATATTAGGTAGTTTGGATATCACAGAAGTAGTTACATCCATAACTTTTAATATAACAAGTAGGTACTTGGGGATTATTGACTTTAATGCTATTTCTGCTACTTTAGCTAGTTTTGTTTAGTGGATACTTTATAATTATAAATAATAAGCAATCAATTCTGGCTTCATCGGAAACATTAAAATCGTAATCGTTTTGCAACTGTCCAGTCGTAAATGTATAATAGGCCGGGGGCTGTCGACGAACGCCGTTTATCGCCGTTTAGTCGTCGGCGACGTGTAATCCGTGCCAATTACCTAATGACGCATTCTATAATGACACACGGATCAATGTACATTCGCAACCGAAAAGCTTTAATAAAGCTAAATTAGCATGTAGCTCGTCCAATTGGTAGCTTTTTGCACAACATTCGCTTAGATGCCTTCTGTTTTTAGGTTTGTTTCTGACTTATAACGAAATTTTAAGCTTTAAAGTAGAGTAATTTCATAAATAATGTACACAATATCTAATATTTATGTTATGTTATTTCAATGATAAGAATAAGTAAAGTAACCGAGAGTTAAAATAAAACATAGCTGATATAATTATGTCAAATTATGGTACCTATTTGTTTATTTATGAAAGAGGAAAAATTATAAGGAAAGGATGTATTTATAATTAAATAGATTATAGGTAAATCTGGTAAAATGTGATTGCTTGTAAATTTTATGTTTGAACACACTGGTCGAAAGCAATATGGTAGAGAATAGGTAAATAATTAAAATGTGTTATTTAATTTTATTCTAGAATTACTTCTTGCTAACTTTGAACATGAAAAACAGACGACAAAAATTTTATTAGCAACTAATTTTAGCCCGCGGTTCTCTCACGTGGTAGAAAAGTACATAATACATATGTCCGATAAAAAATAGTTCCGAATATATATAAGTACATTGTTAAGCTATCTCAATTCTAATTGCCGTTACAACCCTAGAAAATAACAAACACACACAAACGCCTATAAATGCGAATTCATAATATTAGTGCGACTAATTTCTACTAATGTTCCAAAATGGGAAATTAAATTATATTTAGGTATAATAATTATATTTCTTTAAATTTACTTGCATATATTTTAATTATAAATATTTTTTTATAGCTATTTTTTTAATTTAAAATACTAGATAGGTAGGTACCTACTATTTAATATATACAAACTATTTTGATTTTTTAACAACTAATCTATAAAAAACTGCAATATCATACCTATTAGGTATGTATAAGTATGTCTCTACCTACAGACTTTTATGTGTATCTACCTTAATTAAATTCCTTTGTCTTGTGTAGGTATCTGTAGAATACCTTCGTGTTCAAATGTTAGGTACTTACCTAATACCTATATTATGTATGGATCAGGGCTCGATATTATTTGCTCCTTAGTAGATACTTAGGTACAGGTTGCCGTCATGGTTCATTTCGTTTATTCAGGAAAATCGTGATGGTTATCTCTATTGAATTATGTTACATCCTTATGATAAACATAGGTTGTTTTGAAAGAAATAAGTATTTAAATTTACCTATATCTAGTTTAATCCTAAATGAAAATATTTAATAGCAAAGATTGTTATAGGATTAAAAGTGTAACAAAATAGTTTCATTAATATTTTTAATATATTTAAAAAAACCACACGCGTGACTCCACATTCCTAATGACATAATGCAAGGGTTACTGGAGCTACCAAGAAGCACTAATCGCTTATGGCGAATCACTAAATTACACATTCAGAGACACGGGAATCTAACCAAGGACGCGGAGGTCGCCTGCTTTATCATTTAGAGACTAATCATTATATTGCAGATGCCATTTCTGTTTTAGCCGACTCCTAATATAAGATTTCGTCCTTTTAATTCGTAGTAGATATATAATTTATTGTTGTAATTTTAGTATGCCCGACATCAATTTAGTAAGATATTTGTAAATACAGACCGTCTGTCAAAGGAATAGCAATTAATAGCAATTTGTGCATTTATTTTAATGATACATGTCGTACCTTTTAGTGCAAATTCTCTGTTGATTTTTTATGCACCTAATAATAATTGACCATTTTTTGCAAGTACGAGTACGAATGTTTTATTAGACCGATTGGTTATTGTCTATGCCAAATACAGTAGTAACCAACTGGCATAATATTATGGAGTAAAAATACATCGCGTTACATAATATATACAAAATCTTATGGTGAACATATTTACTAAAATACCTATCCATAAATATATATGTAGGTAATAAAAGTATTTAGATGTTTCAACTACGCGAAAGTGTGATATAACTATTGTACTTAGTGACAATATAAGTACGAAAGCTTTCGACGTATAAGTTTAGGTTTATGTGCTTGTTATATACCTAGTACCTATCTATTGGCTGAAAGGTAAAATGAGCATACAAATTGAAAAACAAACTTGCTTCATAAATACCAGTATTTAAATACAACTACGGTACTCTACGTAACAAAATCGCTTGAACTAAACAATTCCCTTAAGAACACTCGTAGAAACTTGTCTTGAAAGTTTCTAAACAGCGTATAAGTAACGTTGGAACAACAATCAAATTGAGCCCAACGCCCCACAACCTAAGAAGCTTAAGCACAAGTGTAAACGCAAACAGTTTGGATCGATGAATGTATTCCTTGTTTGTCGACTATACAAGTGGAATTCGCATCACGTCTTCCAAAAACTTAAATCGAGATAAACAACCTCCTCCTCGGAGAGGACGTAAGCGGTGCTCTTTAAACAACAATTTTCATCTCTAACATAAACACTTAAGGTGCTTTTTAGAATGGGCGACCTCGAATAACAATTGAATCAGTTCACGCAGCATCAAATCACTAAACCACTGGGCGGGGCGTAGACAGACTCCACCGGGGGACCAGGAAAAGAGATAGGGAAAACTCGTTCTTACGACGCTTCGTACGCGAGCAACAGAGAAAAAGTATCGTCTGTTGAGATGTCTCGAGGCACCAGGCCGAATTTAAGTACGTTCGGAGAGCTTTTTGTTCGTTGCTCGCGGCGGTAATAAAAAGAACAGTGTCACTGAGCAGATTGCCTCTCATTCAGCACTTGACAATTAAATAAGTGCTCTTGAGTGTTCATTCCTCAGGAGAACCGGTCGTAAAACATGATTAATGCACATGGAGCTTTCTATCGATCAAAATATGTCGGCTACTGATAATTATGGAGTGGTATTTAAAACAAAACAAATCTTACCTTTATATTGCATTAGAACCAATTAGTTATTAATAAAGTGTTTTTTTTTTGTATAGGAACCTAACTCATATTTCTTTTTGTTATCTTGAAATGCTTAACATTTTATGATCTCTTCGAGGATAATTTGGTCTTAACACAAAAAATCAATTACGTATTGTAATATTGTAGGCGTTAGCAAATGATGTTCTTTACATAAATAAACGTTCTTTATTTATTAGACATTTATACCCAAAATAAAAAGTACATAATGATACCCACTATTTTTTACAAAAAAAATATTAAATTATTTCGCCAAAGCGAATACTTTTATAGATTCTCAACTAATTTACGAGATTTTATTAAAAATAAGTACTTAAATATTTATTATAATAAAACAGAAATAATAATAAACTTAAAATGGTATTATGCTATATAACACATCTTTTTTTTTTCAAAGTAATTAATGGCATACCATAAATAATTTTATTAAAAGCAACCAACAAAACATCCAAACTCCCCCTCATTTACATTTAATAAAATTAAATGATCCATTTAAAGAAATTAATTAACGAGGTAACCAGTGAAGCGTCTTCTAACAACCACAGTAACCGCATACAAAGGGCTCGTCCCTAACAAAATAATAATAGCAATGATAATAACTCCCTTCAAATTAATAAAAACCTCACTCGATGACAATAACCGCTTTTGAACTAATCGACAACTGAAGAACAAAATTAAATTTTACAACTGGGGTTGATATATTTGAGTTTTGGATCGTGTTTGTTTTGGCCTGTGTGGAAACTACTTAGGAAAAATCTAAATAGGTATATTTGTAATGTATTTATATTCTATTAAATGTTTAAAGATATTCTATTTCATTTTAGTTATTTATGTTTATGTACCTTATTAAAAATATTTTTATATTTCATAAAAAAACAATCGTAAAAATGTATTATTTTAATACCTTGTATATTTCACGTATTCCAACTAAGCTCTTGATACAAGAAATAATAAAAAGCAAAATATGAGTAATAAGTATTGACTGACAATAAAGCTTCTGGCAAACTTTTCTAAATAACTGTTTGTTAAAATGAAATAGAGCATTTTATAAAAATAATATTTCATCCCCTTCGCAATATCTTGTAATTTATACTGGCTTACCCTTTTAGAGAGAATCAAATAAATCAAATTAAAGCACTAGACCACGCTCTGGTGAACATGCGAGTGCCCAAGACGTTTTGTCAAATTTATTATTTTATTTATATTTTTTTATTACTTTCTATTATCACATCCTTATTGTTATCTCGAGTGGTCTGTGACAAATTTGATGACGATTGGGGTCACACTGCTCTGTAGAGTTAGTGATCTATTGCTTTAGGGTTCATAAACGACAGTTTCAAAATTTTAGACTCGATTTAAGTTCCCAAAGTGACATAAATGATTTAAAAAGGATAAAGTTAATGAAGGATAAAGTTAGCGGTATTTGCAATAACGACAACAATGTTTTGGAACTTTAATTCTATGAATTATACAAAAAGACGGAAATTATCAAAGTATATTTCTATTCTTTGCTGGTTTTTGTAACTCTAGGTTTTTGTGTAACTTTAGTAGTCAGATAGAATAAGTGAATAGATCGTTTATGGGGCAAAGTGTACGCTTGTATAATAGAATTCCACAGTAGATATTGCGCTTGCCATTTAAACAAATTAAGTCTAAAATTAAAATTTATTACGAATATAAAATAAAAAATATATTACTGAATAAAGCTTATTTATTACACCTTCACGGAATACTTTGTAGATGTCAATGTGTGGGACTAATATCTGGTTTGGGTCTCACGTAGGTTAAATTTTCGCCGGGTCTTCTCAGCAGAACTGCCCTCCGAGCCGATGGTAGATTCCTCACGATCTTACATATAGACATTTAATTTAAATGTTAATAATGTAAAAGTGATGATTTAAAAGTGCTTGTAAAATTCTATTTGAATAAAGTATATGTATTTTGATTTGATTTGAATATAATATAGCGTGTTATGTTAGATAACATAGACTAAAGAATAATGAAAATTGAAATAGTTTTTGCATTATCTGTGGCAGGACGAAATGGAAACGTCAAACCGCCGTCGGCCTAGAGCTTTTAGCTGAAGCTGGCAACTATGCGGCCTTCCAGCGGTTGTATGGTGGCTATTGGGCGGGGGTGCCGGCCTACCCCACGCAACCCGCCCCCACCGCCGACCTGTACTACCGGCAGGCGGCCGCAACTGCCGCGGCTGCTGCATCTGCTTCTGCCAATACCTTGCAAAAACCTCTGCCTTACCGGTAAGTTACATAAATGGTTAATAACTAAGTATAGTTAAAATGATAAATGCTTATAGATGGCGAAGGTTCACAAGCCGATTGTCATGTCTTTCTGTTTTTCTCAGTACTAAAGTTATTTATTCACGTAGCTGATAAATATACACGATTTTTAGTAAATGTTCTTAAACAATTGCTACATGTAAGGATATAATTTATATATGTAAATGTAACTTACCTATATTACACAGCATTTATTCATTTTGTGTCGAGTACACACACACCTTCTTAAATTTTCAAATTCGTACACCTGTCTACCTAATGTTATAATATAATATTCAATAAGTGAGAAACCAGTTCCTATATTGAAAGCAAAACATTTCTACAGATTATATCCAGGAGCGCCTTTAGCGGGTGTTCCACCTTTGGGTTTGGGGCTGCCGGGTCCGTCAGCTCACCTCGGCTCCCTCGGGGGGCCAGCGCTCGGGGCTCTAGGGTACTATGCACAAGCGAGACGCACCCCCTCCCCCGACGTCGACCCGGGCAGCCCGGCTCCACCCCCGCGCTCTCCTCGAGAGCCGTCTATAGAACGACGCTCAGATGACGAAGACGACGATGAACCCATACACGTGTAAATATCCAGTGATCTGTGACCAAAAACGTCGACTTTGGCAACTTTAAACCGTTAAGTAAAAATCGGTTACAATGACTTCTTACAAGTGATACGAACACGTACAAGTGCATAACTTAAAGTTATTCTGTGAAGTGAAAGTCATGATTAAGTTTCGTTACCTTTTAATTGGAATGAGAGACAGTACATATTTATTAGTTATGTTAAATATATTTCTCGATGAACGTTTCGAAATGTTGACGTGTTGAGAATTGTTTATGGTGGACAACGCTTGTCCGTAATAATTATGTGATATTATAAGCTCGAAATAAATAATATTAGTAGCAAGTTATGTATAATAATATAAATAAATTTGATGTCGTATAACTAATCCTATACCTAAATGTAAAGAATAATGCTTTGAGAGTTCAAACAGCAAGCTGGTCTTGATAAAAGAATTTTAGTTACTTGAAAATACAACACATTGCAAATATAAAGTGTATGTTAAACATATTTTCGTCAGAAACTGTTTAAATTCGCAGATTTGCAGGCCGTAAGATTTATCGTAAGTTTTTGTATAATTTTTCTAAGACGTCGTTTTATTTATATTTTATATACAAACCTATATCGATATGCAGCCTCAAGCAAAGTTATTTACAAAATAAAAAAAATATGGAATAAACAGTATTACCTTGTAAAACGCAAAACATTTATTTTAAACTGATACAACGTGCAAATATTGTATAATATAAATGTATAATTATAATGTACGTATGGATAGTATTAAATACACAAGTAAATAGTGCTAGGTTTGTATGTGTATGTACTTACCTAAAGCTATAATAGATATATGGCGGTGTACTTAAGCAATCTGAAACGTGACATTTTATGTCCAATAGATTTTGTGGTGTTTTGTAATTAAAATGTTGTCAATTAACTTAGCGGTTGTTTTTTTTTCTTCATATACTCTAATCGTTTTTAGTTAATATTTATTCCTGATATGATATATCTAACTCTATAAATCCTTATATGATACAACTATGTATTAGATATTTGATTAGCGACCTGCCCACACCTAATAGGGTAGCTTCGTGCAGGTAGTGTCAAAATACATTTACAAACACACATGTAGAAATCTAAATCACTTATTGATTCCCTATTGGTACCTATGTATGTACATATAAATAAAAAATCATAAATTATCCAACGAAACTCGCTCGCCCCCTATTCTTAATGATCCAAAAGGCTTCGCAATAAATCAGTAAATTTAAAAAAATTAAAAGATGTACAGTGAGGTGTTAATTTATCTTTCTTTTCGTCCAACTAATAAACATAAAATAAACGGTACCATTACTAATGTTAGCTGATTATCCGGGTCAACATATAGGATTCTTTTTATGGCGGAAAATAATTCCCAACTCTGAAAAATCTATACTAAACGTGAAAACTTAACTAGGGACGAACCCGAGTTGCGAGGGTGTGTCGCTAGTATAGGTATATATAAAATGACAAGTTATTTAAAGTCTAACTTGGCTAACTACTTTAAGATTTCGACCATCTTAACTATAACCTATTACTTTAATATTATCTATTATTAATATAACAAAAAATATATTTTATTTTACTTATATGACGAATGTTAAAGCCTAGCCTTGTATAAAAACTAGAGGGCTGCGAAGGCTGCCGCTTATTAGTACATTATCCAAAGCTTGTCTTACTTTGATATTAATCATTTTAAATTTCCATAAAACTAATTTTAATTTTCCTTAATAATCTCAACTTATCTCTAAACATAATCGCAATAATTGTTACTTAATGTATGTAGTTGTGAGAAGTAATTTTGTTAATCTCATACCCGTACTTAATTAGCATTCTGAATACCGCGTAACGATTTTATAAATTAAGCAAAAATAAACGTCTCTACATCGGATTGTAGATTAGTCGGTAAAGAAATGCGCTTACACTAATTTGGCTGTAAGTAGGTATTTGTAGCAAAAACTGTGGCAACTAACTCCCAACAGTCACGCTAACGCAAACTATTAGGCCAGTGTTAAATCGTGTGTCGAATGGAGATAGCCTCCATTCGACGAGCTGTTTCCTACATAGAATCAAGTAACTATGTGAAGCAATAATGTTGTGAAAATATATGTAATGACAGCTTGCATTAGCCTCAAACCCTTAGTTACCAACGTGTTTTTATACCCTTATACGTAGGTACCTGTAAAGTAGGCACCTGTTTGATGTATAACAAGCAAAGATACATTATGTACGTATGTACTTATTTGCTTACCTTATACACATATGGGTGTGTTACGGGTTTTCATCATAGACGACTAATAAGCGGCTGTTTTAGTAATTATGTTATTAAATACAGCGATTGCATGGTTTTAATTGTTGAAAAGTTAACGGCAACCAGTGAATAATTATAACAGACATTAGCAAACGAGTTAGCAAACAAATCGCCCGAACTTTGGTCGTTAAAGGCCTATTTTCATTTCATATAATTTTTTTTATTCATAATGTCACGGTCGTCAAATAGAAATGACGTCGGTTTATACAATAGTATCGCACGAATATGTTGGGGGCTTTTCTTTGATTTCCTTATATTTTAGTGGGCATAAAACCTATTTAAAAAGCAATCAGTCAGAGTTCGCTGATTACTCGCGTAGCACGCCACTGACCGTGTTCACAAAACGGAGCAATTAACAACCCCTTACCCTGCGCCCCTCGTCTCCGTGGCCGCCGGGCTGCCGCACTGATCTAATCATAAAACGACCGTTTTCTGGAATCGCCTTTACAAACTATTGCGTGTTTTATCGCGAGGGCGGCCTGGTCAAACTTCGTCGACAAGTCAGAATATTGTTTGGACTTCTGTTCGTTTCTTACTTCACATTGTTTTAAGTTAATTGCTTTTAAGCTAAGGAACAATAAACAAATGCTTAAAAATATTTCACAGGTAATATCACTAAATAAACTTATCACTCTTAAACATTACCATATCGATGTCTAATATTAGAAACTAGCTTCAAGACGCAGATTTCTAAGTGACTATACGTACGTTTACGAGTGGGATATTAAAAGTTTAACTATACGTTAACACGCTATACAGACAACATAAATATTTATACAGTTAAAACGCTTCTTAATCACGAGTACCACAGTTTTTATGTAACTATAGCTTCGTGTTTGTAAGTAATACCTCTTTATATATTTATTGTTCTATAATTTGCACTATCCTTATTATTGCTACGTTTAAAAAATATTCCGTATTCATACAATGGCAATAATTTTATTTTTTGTGTTTTTGGTATTTTGTTCATCATAGTTATTGGATATTGAATGAAATTAGTCTTTTATTTATGACTAGCGACTTCCTCGCTTCGCTAGGGTGCGTCCCTAAGTACGTTTTAAATTTTTTGAGCGGGATCCTAATCCTTTTTCTAAAAATTAGCCTAAGTTGCTCCTTGAACATCAGCTCTCTGCCAGTGAAAGTCCCGTCAAAATCAGTCTAGTCTTTTCTGAGATTAGCCGGAACAAACAGACAGACAGAGAGACAAAAATTTTAAAAATTGTATTTTTCTTGTAAGTACCGTATATAATTTCATATACATAAGCACCGTATATAATTTCAAAAGCTATTATTTTGAAGTTACAAACAGACACTTCAACTTTATCTGTATAGATTTCATAATAAACGCCAAAAATCACTACTATTAAGTAAATTTATCTACTTGCATAGAGCTACTGATAGATATAAAGAAAAAATACACGGGTCAAGTAGGTACGAGGGTACATGGCTTTCCTTAGCTTTAAAATATTTTGACCTTATTTTCAAAATACATAGGTACTTGGTAAATACATGGCATTTTATTTATTTTTTTATTTTCAAAATATAAAATATATTTTATTTTTAAATTATATTTATTATATTGTAATGCCAAAATTTATGAATAACAATACTTTTATAGTTATAAGACACATATCGATTACAGTCATTCATACACGCACGAGTGGGATTATTAAAAACGATGTAGGTATGTATTACGTGTTATGTAAAGATATCGTTTCTTTAATTGAGTAATTGTTTTCAGTTTCATAATGAAATTTATTGTTAGCGTTTCCGGAATTTTATGTAAGTTACAACTTATTTAGATATAAAAAGTACTGATACGGTAATAAAAACATTTATTTTAATGAGTTTCCTGATTCGTTTTAATTTAATATAATAACAACAATGTATTTTCCTAGCATTCTCACAAAATTAACACTTAGTTCTTTATATAACCAGAAAAAAAATTGCGTTAACATTTTTATTTGCGCAATTCAAAATAATTAAATTATACCTACCCACTGCAGAGACATGAAATTTATCTGATAATGATCTGCAATTTGTATTATTTGAACTCAAGATTTAAGATTCAGGCACTGATCAATATTACCGACTTTGGCTGAATATAAATAACTATTTCAATCTTAATTAATATTTAATTATGAATAGATTTTTTTGAAGTTATACTTGTTTTGGCACGTTTGACAAAAATTTGAGAGTAAAATATTTACGATGCGGGCGCACACCGACAGCCAAAAAGCAACATGATGTAGTTATCTGCATTCCTTTTACAAACAGTGAGTTGTGACATACGGGATGAAATCTTTAGCTATTTTTGTTCTTTTACGGCAAAGTAGTACCTATAACTTCTTACGTGCGTACATAAGTACACACACTTTTTTTTTATTTTATCTACAATTTAAACTAAAATTTACAACAGCCCAATAATATAGGTACCTATAAGTCTAAAGGCTTATTACCTACAGGAAGAATTTGAAGGTATTCTTTTAATATTTTGTTCTTTAAACTAAAACGTGTTGTAACTAAAATGGCCGATACAAGTATCCTAATTACACCAAGAGTTGTACTTACGAAATAAGTATATATACCTATCTGTGGTTGTTCTACCTGATCTCATGTAGGTACCTACCTGCTAGACTGTCTGTCTTTATGACTGTCGCAAGAAATAAATA